TTCTAATTACCTACGTTTCTTCTCCTCCTCTCTCTCTCTCTCTCTCTCTCCTTCGTTCGTGCTGTTTAACACACGGAATGGTTGAAGGAAATGACGAACGATTTAATTACGAGACATAAAATTATCGAGGAATCGTAATATTCCGTTGATCTGTTGCCCACGATCGACGAGACGGTTAATTAACCGTGTTATTTCATAAGAGAGAGATGGATGGATACACGTAATGAGATCCGTTTGTGCAGCTTCTTGCACGGTGACGGTTTTATTTTATCGGCGGATGAAAGTGTATTGACTTACCAGGAAGCGGCGACTTGCGTCATTTCCGGGCTAAGCATGGGGTACGGATATTGACCCGTGGAGAAGGGATACATCGGCGCTCTTGTCAAGCCTGGAACAAAAATGAGAGATGTTGTCATTGTCTCTTGGAAAAGTGTCAAACTGTGATCAAAGACTGTGGAGCAAAGAGAGTCGAGAGCCATTTCAAAGAAAACGGCGATATTTGAAAGCGTTAATAGAAGTTTGCGAGCTTTCTTGCGCGCGCAAGTTTCCACAAATCTTCTTCAAATCCTTCATCTTAGAAAAGAAACTTTACTTCGCAAACAACTTGGGGGATAAGTATTATATTATAATTAAATTTCATTTAATTAGGCGTCTCGTTATGAGAAACCGAGTTCTTTTCCATCCGAGCGAAAACAAAGTCTTTCCTTCTTTCGAAATATATATTTTGAATAATTCGAAATAATTTAATCGATCGATCCACCCCCTCGAATCGATATCTCTCTTATTAATTCATCCATTTGACCGATCTCGCAACGTGATAATTAACGAATTCCTGAGGAAGGAAGCGACCGCAATTTATCCTGGCTACTTTTCCACGGGGTTGATTTATTCGATGCGGTGCGCCGTCGGCGTCGTATCAGCGGATGCAGGATAAACATTATTACTGGCGAGATCAAAGAAGAACGAGCCGATTGGAGGAAAGGAGGACTATGTATTTAATATCGAGCCGGTTTGCACTACAAACACGGAATCGGATGACCCGGCATTGATCACTATCCGGCCGCAACCCCCACGGCGTCCACCACCCTTTTCTCTCTGTCGACAATATCTGTTTGATAATAATTTGCATCGCGTATGATCTTCGTAAACTATCATCGAATTGTATTGTTTCGAAATATCATAATGCCAATCTTTGCCAATTTTTTTTCTTTCTTGTTATCATTACATATAAGCGATTTATCGAAAAGTGCACCTCTGCTCCGACTTTTCATTTTGAAATCGATAAATCGATAAATTATGCATTTCGTTATATTTAACAAGCTAGCTCAAAATTCTTAAAAAACTCTAAACCGAGTCTCTTTCGAGCAGCAAAAGAAAAAGAAAAGAAAAAAATCGGTCGTACGAATCCTGGTTCCACCCCATCGATAATTACTCGAAACCTGCCCCTCCCTGGATCGTCGAGGCTTGCACAGGGTGGACGTGGAAAAGGGGTGGCCCAGCTTTCACAGTGGCGGTATCTAATACGTGTTGCAGAGCCGAGGAGAGAAACGTCGGCTGCCGGCTATAAGTGGGGTGCCTTTGGCGAGGCGAAGTGTAATTGGCTTCATAAGGGTCGACGAGAAGCGGCCGGAATATCGGCAAGCCTGAAACCGCTTGACGAGGCCAATACTTCTCTCCCTCCGCGTCATCCTTCTTTTCCAACGCACCACCCCCTCCTTTTTTGCGTTTCGCGGCGGTCGAACGTGTCCCGAAGGCGGTGCCCCGCTACGAAATCGGTCAACTGCGTGGTTTTCCACGATAGGGCCACTTCCCTTCCCCCACTGCGGACGGATAACGAGCGTCCACCGCGTTCGAGGGCTCTCGATCACTGGACGCTTACCCCGTTTCCACAGACAAGATGGATCAGAGAATTGGATGATTTGCATCAAGCTGGGAAAGCTGTTGGTTAAGTTATTTAATAGGATAGGATGGTAAAATGAAGATTTTTTTTAGTAGGAGCCAATCTCGATGTAACACCAGTCCCTGTTTCTGGCAAAGTTATCGAAAGAAAAGACTATTCTATACAGTTTTATCACAGCGAATGAGATTAGAAGTATGTTTTCCTGAATTTTGATAAGTTGATGCATGATCATCCATATCACTCGATTCGAGAAGAATCGAATTTTTTACAAACAATCAAATCTCATGCTTTCGTCCCACCCTTGTCCGCATTTCACTTCGTTATAAAATCTAAGATCCGTTTAAATTCAGACTCTGGGAGATCGAACACCAAGAACACAGACAGATCGAGTTCACTCGGTTCACGGACTAAAAAGGAGGAGAATCTGAGGAAGGGGGTGGTTTGGGTCGCAGGAAGGGGTCGTTATCTGTCCGATACCGTGTACGAATAATGTAAGGGACGGAGAATTAGAAGTAGGAACCGCGGCGGAGCAGAAGGAGCTGGATGATATAAGGGAAGCGTGGTAGGGGGAGGGTTGAAAGGGGTGGCTCGTAATATCCTGGCGAGTCCGCGGGCTCCGTCATGTGTGCTTAATCACTTTCCAGTCGACTCGGCAGTCTGCAACCCCATTATCGGGGTCTCACCACCCGGAAAATTACTCTTTTATTCTCGAACAACTCGAGCTCCCGGTGTATACCGCGATATTCTCTGTCTTCCCTCCCCTCGTCTCGCCCCCTCCAACGCTTTTCCATTCCTTGCCTTCCTCTCTCTCTCTCTC